TTTACGTTTCTTCGGATCCCACCACGTCCGTGTCGCGCCTACCGGATGGTGGCGGGCAAAGGAATGAGTAGATGAACGAGTGTGAACAACGGATTGTCCTTGGCATTGGCACTATCTGGAGCGCGAGTACGGAATACCCAGCGCCGCCCACTGGAATGTAGGAGCAAGGAATTAGTTGCTGTAGCCTGTTTCTGTGTCAATGCTAACGAGATGAAAGCGTGACCAAAAGCGCGCGGGCTGGCTAAATGGTTTGGTCTTGGGCGCTCCTTTCACACGCGCACAGAAACAAGAGCCACATTCAATTGCAGCGCGACTTGCTGGAAAATACCAACATATGATCCAGGGTAAGCGTCTCGATGGGATGTGGTCCAAGGCACGCGAAACCCACAGATGATGCCCAAGCACAACGGTTGAATGGCGCCACTTTCCGTCGATTCCCACAGAACCCTCGATTGATTAGCACCGCTTTGCTAATGCGCGACAGAGGTTGAGATACTACTGCCAGTCTAAGCGACTGGACGAAAATACCAAAGCTCATGATAGGCTCCCCGCCTTCCGTTGATGCCGGCCATGACCCCTGCTCGAGACCCAGGGGAAGCAAGCGTTTCAGCACCGGAGTGGTGGGCCTGGCCGTCAAAAGACATCGTGTCTGGTGACTGCTTCTGTCGTGCTCGTTGCATTGTACAATACGTACCCGGCAGATGTCTGAAGAGATTGATGAAATCGGACTACGCAGTACTTACTACCTGCGGTTCTTTCCCCCCTTCAAACACTCCGTAACCAGTCGTTCGGTAGGACTACCTAGGTAGTTGTGAGCCTACCGCCTCCACAAAGAGCCGATTGCCGGATCCCCAGAAGGAAAACACCAGCGACCTGTCTGTTAGCTTGTCAGACGCTAAAAAAAACCCTGGAAGATCAAAAGCTCCTAGGGTACAAATGTGGTTCTACCGATCGGTCACCCTCGCTAGTTGTCAATCCTCGCTGCGCCATACCACGTGCATTATAGGCCCATGAGGACGAACCAAAGTGAGCACTATGTTAACTACCTAGATAACTATTATTTAGGCGCTCGACTCTTCGAAGCTATAACCTAGAATTCAAGAAGCTGGCTAATTGGTAGTTATATAAGGCCTTATCTCTGCGATCCCTCGGGTATTGTTTAAGGATTTATGTTAAGAGGAGGCTTGAAAACGAGCCACGAACTAGATCAGACACTACTAGTTTCCTGCGGACAGCCCATCAAATAACAGGCCCTCCGTCCAGACATCTATCACACGAGCAGCTTGACCCCAATTAATAATAGTAAGATCAAGCCTGGCTGGCGAATCAACAGACATAATATTTTGTACTCCGTAGTACTAGGTCGGCCGGATCCTGCCGTGGCCTGAGCTCATATCCACGATCCACTTTCTTTTGTTGACTTTTGTTGAAACGGCGCTTTTCAAAGTTGTCCTTGGCTGTGGGTTCGAAAGTTTTTGTCTTGAGACGGCGCTTGGGCACTACCGAAGCCCTGCTCATTCTCCATGCTTCCCCTCTGGTCGGCACAGGAGCTTCTCTTGTTGAAACCATGTTACTGGTCCAGTGAATAATTTCCCGAATTTCGTTGCTCGACGACAGATGAGCTCAAGCGCAGTACCGTGAGTGGATGATGACTGTCTAGTTCCGGCCCTAACATCATCCATCGGCGAGGCCGGATGACGACGGGGTTAGATGAACATGTTTTATGGTGCGAAACAAGATCCGACCGTATTGACTTCGACAATAGCGCCATATTCATGCCGAGGTACGGGTTCCATGTACTGCGGTAACATCCACATCGTCGATTCACTGCTTATAATGACATGGGGCCCCTTTTGCAGAATAGAACCTAGAATTCTGCTATCTCGCTTTATCAGACTGTTAGTTCAGCCTTCGAGCCACATTAGAATGCTAGGATGAAGAAATTAAAACACAAGACTATAATTATTTTGTAAGTACTGGCCGATTTGAAGTCTAGAATGATAGATTAACCCTACATCATAAGTTCGAAATTCCGCCATGGCTGCTCACAAAGCAGTCGTTCTTGAGCACGTAACATTTAGACCGGCTCATCTTGGGCACAGAACCTACATACCTAGGTGATAACTACATTTGAAGAACGTGCTGTTTCAGCAAATCGGCAATAGTCCTCAGCAGCACTTGACACTCAAACTTGATTTGCTTGGGATTTGGGGGTTTGATCTGCTGTACCCCCACGTCGAGAGCAATGACTCGAAAGACGCTTGGGTGGGCATGGGGATATTTCATGGTCTCGACGGTATTGGAGATTGCTAGAGGCATAACTCTCGACGGAGACGTCACACAGACATGTGCTGTCAGAGCTCCCCCGATGGCTAACAAGTCAATCACTCGCAACCGGTATCATCGCCCGGAAATACCCCATTATTTTTTGGCTTCCCCGGGTCCGGGTTACCGTTGTCTTGCAGACTATCTGCCGGTATCATCAGCACTTAGTGCTTGGTTGTTCTAAAGCGGGACTCATTCGATTCGCACAGGGGTAACGGACAAATGATCCCCAAGTCATGTCGTAACGTAGTATATAGAACATTGCTGTATACTCGATAGTAAGCCAACGCTAGCCGACACTGTAAATTCACCTATTTTCATCGAGGCACCGTTAATCATAACGGCTTCTTCTTCACCCCCTTCTCTTCCCTCATTCTTCTGGGATCAATTATACATACTCCCGTTAGTGGAAGGAGGCACGAGTGCTTGAGTTTAATAACCAGCACGCTTCGTAACTCTCACCCGTCAACCACAACCGGGACATCGGCCTTTGGGATGGTGCAAGTACTATGGGGTACAGTTGAAAGTCCGACCCGGGGATTTCAGTGATAAGACCGCCTGAGGCGTGTTACTAGTGTCGTTGTGGACCTGAAACGCGGACATGGTTGATGCCGGATTGGTATGTGAAACTGGTGGTTACGGAGACGCTGTGTGTGCGTCATGACGAGAATTCCGGATTTACCCATCTCTAAATTGAAATCTTTCATCGTATCTGGTGGTGACGGAGGAGCCTAGGGATAAGTCTCGGGGATGGCTGTGGATTCACGCCCAAGAGTTGGTCACCGGCAAACGCGTTTCGACGATCCCCAATCCCTAACATACACTTTAATACTCCTTTCTGGAAGCTATATTAATGACTAGCATTGCTTCCGGCGCGAAATTGCTTTGGTAAGGCACACCGAGGGATATGGATTGGGCTGAGCTTGAGATACACTCTTCGTAGTATTCCATTGAACCAGGCCCAGTCTTGATGCTGGGCATTTCAGCCAATGAGAAAAGAGGACAGTTTATGGTTTGAAGGCTCTAGTTTAGACCAGTCCGCCTGATCTGATATTTAGCCATGTACTATCATAAGATCGTAACCATCGAAGCAGGGCTATGTCGCTGACAATAGTCTCTCCTCAGAAATGCAGGGTATCATGAATGCTTTCAACATCTCCTCGTAATTTTCTTGACAATTGAACTCCCAATGGTGATCCCGGCAGGCCATTGCGCAATTGTCTACCACCTATTATGATGCAAGCCATCTTGCGGTCTGCTTTAACCAAGCCAGGTCAGATTTGGTATTGGCTTATATTTGCTTCGCGTCCTCAAAAGCCCGCTCTCTCTGCCGAATCTGCTTCTCTATCCGTTCCACCCGTGTTTCGACATCAGCAAGAGACTGGGAGTTGTTCAGCACCCAATTTTCGTACCAAGCGCGGATGACCATCTCGCTTCTTCGTCTTAGCTCAGAAATTTCTGCCAATTGTGCAATCTGGGTTGCCTCGATAGCTTTCATCTTGTCCGTCAGGGCTATGAGAGATGCGCTTTCCGACGGATCGGGTATGGGGCTGTCTTGTACAGCCGTGAGGGAAGATAGCGCCGAGGAATAGGCAGGCGCCTGCGATAGTACGATGGATTGAATTGCGTCGCTTGACAGCTGAGATGGTGGTACAGAGGCATCTGGGGAGTGGAAAAGGTCCGGATTAGACTTGTCTAGGTTTATATCAGTTCAGTGTATAACATAGTAGCGGGTGGTTTTGGTGCACACTGACAAATTTTAAGAAGTTCGTTGTAGACTCGGAAATGGGAGATGACCATGGAAAACCGTCTTTCCATATCCTTCAACTTCTGAGCAGCAGAGTCTTTGTGTACATGAGGGAGTGATGTCGCAGGGCCATGGAGGAGATGCTCGAGGCGGAGGAGACGCGACTCGAGGAGATTGATTGTGGCAAGTGTCGTCTGATCCAGGGTGTTGTCCATGTCGGCGGCAGCAGCCATTGAAATCGTTAGGAATCGTTGCTGCAGGAGCCTTCTTGGAGAGCAAGACTGTGCCTATTAGGACGATGAGCAGAAATATGTGGCAATTAAATTGACCCTACCAGTACTCCGTATTCGAGATTCGAGATCCGAGAACCGAGCAAAGCATCACCTCGACGTACCACGCCGCTGATTGGCTGTGGGCCGCACAGGTCACTGATCAGGCCCCGCTGAATGACACGCCGTGTCCTAGCGAAAGCCAGCCAACCAGTCAGGTAAAGGCCACATGCGGGTTTAAGCCAGATAAATGCCAACTGACGCCAAGCCAATGCCAGCCAAATCCAGCCCTGCCTCGTGAGGCGTGACCACATAGACGTCAATTCCGACGGGTGGCCAACGATGTCGCTTCCTCCGCCCAACCTTCCAACTCTTCAACAAACGCACTGCCGGTCGATTATTCTTCGGTCCTCTCGATACTTGGCATTTCCCAGTCCAGAAATTCGGACTGTTCACTCGTTTCTCATCCTGCGCATACTGCTCTGCGCATTTGCGAGCGCCCTCTCCACGGCGGCCGGGACGGTGTTGGGAGGAGGGCAAAGAAAAGACTGGCCTGCTGGTCATTCCCAGATTTACGGTGATTCCAACTTCCGAGGCGACGACGAGGAAACGCACACAGCACCTGGTGCTGCGTGTTGTTGACATAGTAGCAGCCTGCTATGACAAACTATTCAACCATTTCGGATGGTAATTCTGCCAGACCTCGTAACGACATGCCAAGGTGCGAACCCATCGAACCCATATTCACGTGCGTAGCACAACGTCGCAGAATACTGACCGATGCCCTTTTTCTGTAGGACACGACGACGTGGAGGCAAGGATGGCGGTCACGGCGGGCAAGCCTCGATGATCAGCAGTATCGTCAATCTACTAAATACGAGTCCGCACCCCCTTATCAGTTCACTCATTGGTGTCATGTCACCGCTAATGCTCGCTCTATAGTTGTCGGTGCTGGTACGCTGGCGATGCCTTCGGTCCTATCTCATATGGGAATAATGCTTGGTGTTTTACTTGTAATATGGTCTGGCCTTACCTCTGCCTTCGGTCTTTACCTGCAGTCTAAATGCGCCCGTTATTTGGATCGTGGAACTGCTTCCTTTTTTGCCCTGTCGCAAATCACTTACTCACAAGCCTCTGTCGTCTTTGACGCAGCCATCGCTATCAAGTGCTTTGGAGTAGGCGTATCATACATGATTATCATCGGAGACTTGATGCCTGGCGTCATGCTTGGTTTCAACAGTCGTGCCGACCATATCCCATATCTTGTCGACCGTCATTTCTGGATTACGGCTTTCATGCTTCTGGTTATTCCTCTCAGTTTTCTTCGGAGACTTGATTCGCTCAAGTACACCAGTCTTGTTGCCTTGGTTTCGATTGGGTACCTCATCGTTTTGGTCATATACCACTTTGCAGTTGATCCGCACGCAGACCCTAGCAATGTTCGAGTCATCAAGTGGGCCGGTGCTGTCGAAACATTGAGTGCTCTACCAATTGTTGTCTTCGCTTATACTTGTCATCAAAATGTAAGTAAAGTTCTCGGGAAAACTGCTGCTTGTACGCGCTGCTAACTGGATGTTAGATGTTTTCAATTGTTAATGAAATCAAGGACAACTCTCCATCAAGCATGGTCAGGGTAATTGTTTTGAGTATTGGATCAGCTGCTAGTATCTACCTTGTGGTCGCCATTACTGGTTACATTACCTTCGGTAATGATATTGTCGGTAATATTGTTTTAATGTGTAAGTGCTCTTCCCATGGCCTTGACTCACAGCCATCCCTAATACAATTCAGACCCCACTGGAGTTGCGTCGACTATTGGCAAGGCCGCAATTGTTATTTTAGTTTTATTTTCCATCCCCCTTCAGGTTCATCCTTGCCGCGCCTCATTAGACGCGGTTTTGAAATGGCGACCAAGCCGCTCGCAGTCAGGCAATGGCCGCCTATCATCATCTGTATCTGCCGCGGCAACGGTCTCTCGAGGTGACCATGGCACTGCCCCCATGTCTGACACCCGCTTCGCACTCCTTACTACCCTTATTTTAACGCTAGCATACTTTACCGCCCTGTCAGTCAGCAGTCTGGATCGCGTGCTTGCCTTTGTGGGAAGTACGGGCTCGACGTCCATTAGTTTTATCTTACCGGGCCTCTTTTATTACAAAATAAGCGACCCTGAGAGCTCGTATCACCAGCGGCTCATGAAAGAAGACGACGATATGGAAGACTCAGGGTTGTCGGATATTGAGGACTCTGCGCACCTGGCCGGAAACAGCGCTGGTGCTCTGGACAGCACGCCCGATTTATTAAATCACAGCCCGTGGCGCTGGAGAAAAAAATGGCGATGGGACTTGGAGCACCTTGACCACGGCTTGGTTAGAAAACTTGCCCTTGCATTGGCCGTTTACGGCGTAGTGGTCATGGTCGTATGCTTGTTCATGAACATATTTTTTGCAGCGTCTCATTAGGCTCGAATATTGGAATATAGGTAAAGGGGTGCCTGATGAAGACTGATTATATACCGCAGTTACGAGCATGACGGCGTGCTGGCCAAGGAATCAAAAGCAAACAATTTCTTTGAGTGACGGGCGGACATGGTATTATTTAGCTGGCGCAGGCTGTAAGCAGCTGGCTGTTTTTTCTTGGATCAAGGTTTATTTGTATATGTTTAAGCAATTAGAGGGCATAATACACCATTGGCATGGGGTAGGCGATATCATCAATTCTCTCCGCTTTTCACACCTGTGGCTCAACTAATTATTTTAATTTCATTTGTCTCTCGGTGGCAGCGTACTTCCATGACTTTCTAGAGATGAAGACCTTTAATCGCATGATAATAGATGTTTCCATCTGACCTTACTACTTTCCTACCAAAAAAAAAGTATTCATAACCCAAGCCAACGCCTTAAATGCTCGACACGCCTTCTATCATACAATACGTCCATTACGCGATCAATAATTGTACATAGGGTCCCTCTTTCCTAGCTGAAAACTCCGTTTCCTTATCGAATCTTCACCTTTTCCGCATCGACTGTCTCGTTTTTCTCGCTGGGCTTGGGTCCGAATACCTTCTTCGGCAGGATTCCGACCATGGACAGCAATCGCCACGCCGTGTCGGTAGGCTGGGCGCCAACACCGATCCAGTATTTGGCGCGCTGTGTATCGAGCTTGATATCCTTGTGGAGCTTTCCTGAATTGTCGTAAGGATCGGGCTTGGGGACAGGATCGTAGGTGCCGAGAACCTCGAGTGGGCGAGAGTTTCGTGCCGTGCTGCGTTTTTGCCCGTTAGCAAAGGTCGAATTGACGGTTGGCAAAGGGAGCGGCAGGTGCATACCGTGCATGGGCCACGACGATATTGTAGAACGGGGAATTTCGGCGCCCGAAGCGCGCGAGACGGATCTTGACAACCATGGTGGAATTGGCGTCGTGGATTTTTGATTTTGGGAATGGACTCGAGGATTGCGAGCTGGCTAGCAAGGACGTATCGTCACAGAGTTTCAATTGAGAGGAGGTTCTGGGTGGAATTTTGGCCGGATGTCTGGTTTTGCCGCCCCGACCAATCAGCGGTGGCGGTGGCGCCTGTCTGGGGGAAGCTGTCAAGGTTGACCACCTCCCACCTTCCTGGTGATGTCAGTGGCCTCGCTCCAACAACATCTTCGTCATAGTGAGCACGAAGGAATGTTGGGCAATTTTTACGTCTTCAAGACTGCCTCTCTACATAGGATCCGCGTTGATCGTCATCTTGAACACTCAGAATATATTAATCATCTAATATGGCTCTCAAGGTAGCTCCAGCTCTAGCACTGGCTCCTTTGGAGTCTTTGGCTTCGAGGGTAGAGACAATACTAATTTTTACATTGTGTGCAGACTCTAGGAGCTAAAACGGCTGCAGCCCTGGACCAAGAGCTGATGAGCACTTGCGCCTTTTCTATTGACCAGCTGATGGAACTTGCTGGCCTATCCGTTTCCCAGGCTGGTAAGCCATTAACACCAACATCCCATGGCTACAGCATGGTCCTTACCTTGCCGAAGTTTATCGAGTTCACCCGCTGAATAAGGGCCGCCGAGTCCTCGTCGCTTGTGGTCCTGGAAATAATGGTGTGTCGCTTCGAGTCTTGTTGCCACTGATTATTGGAGTCTAACAACCATCAAGGCGGAGATGGGCTCGTGGCAGCTCGACATTTGTTCTACTATGGATATCAACCTACCATATTCTACCCCAAACGGAGTAAAAACGAGCTGTACCAGGTGAGAAGCCTTGGCACTTGGGCATCAAGTCGAATGAGATTCCGAATTATCGTATAGCGGCACAGTCACTCGTCCCTGGCTGCATGCGTTTAACCCTTTTGAATTGCGTTACTCTTTCTATGCCGTCTATCCCTTATCCGACTTATAAAGCGTTGTCGAGCAGGTGTTGGGCCCAATGCAACACCAGTCTCCCTCTGGTCTTGTATAGCATAGGGGTCAAGTAGAAAAATCCTGGGTGATCATGGTGCTGACGCTCTTCGTTTTCGTAGCGCCTAGCGAAACAGCTTGAAGACCTCGAGGTCCCTTTTGTCGATGACTTCCAATCAGCAGTGGACTCGACGGATCATATTGTGGATGCGGTTTTTGGTTCGATAGTCGCCATTGGTGTATTGCCATAGCGATGTACTGACACGTCTAGTGCAGGATTCAACTTTTCTGGTGATATTCGCGAGCCGTTCCCCAAGGTCATCCAGGCACTAGAAGAAACAAAAGTCCCAGTTACTTCAGTTGATGCTCCGTCTTCATGGGACATCGAAAGTGGTCCTCCAAAGTCTGGAGTAGGTAGCGCTTTCATGCCTGCCACACTCGTCAGTCTAACGGCCCCGAAGCCCTTGGTCAAATTCTTCAGGGGACGTCATTTTGTTGGTGGTCGGTACGTACAAGCGTGATTTGACTCGGTTCTGGCAAATGAGCTCACACGCCCACAAGTTTCGTTTCGCCATCCATTGCAAAGAAATATGATTTCGAGGTGCCAGAGTACCCTGGTGTGGATCAAATTGTCGAAGTCCCCATAACAAGTGAGAAGCTTTGAGTATTAAACAAGAAGTGTTCATAGGTGTATAAGATCGCCAATGATAAACTCTCCTTAGTTTCTTGTGGCAGTCCCTCGGTTTGCTGAAGTACATTCTTTTTCTTTTGTTTCTGAAGCATTGGTGTTACATAACTCTGCAACCGCCTCGGAGACTATTGGGACAGACGGGGCTTGGACATTGGCCGTCGCGCATCTTCTCTCGAATGGTGATCAGGCCGTTGGGGCAAAACAGCAACGGTGGATGGAATGAATGGCAAAACGAAACATAGACGAGATATTCTTTCCCGCAAACTGGGCACTCAGCCGTATGCTCCTTGCACATTTATCGTGGCTTGAGAATACCTTGACCACCTATCGCAGCGTGTAGCAGGTGATCAAGTATCATGGATAGGGAAGACCTTGAGTATTGTTGACATGGGGTTGGAGATGTCAAGGGCGAGAAGAGGAGAAATACTTTCAATCCACGTGTTGACCGATTCCAGGTGAAGCGAGTATCGAAGTGACAAGCTGTCAGGACCACGTTGATATAGGTGGAGGCATTGGTAGAGCAAACAGCCTCTTAGCACGGAACGGAAACACCAGCAGTTGCCACCGTCCGAGCCTTGCCCGAAGTTGTATGGGTAAACGAATGGGTACGGGGGACTCTGGTTCAACCAGTCAACCACTCTACGGGTATATGACGGTCCTGCTGCGTACAGTGGCCTCGTCGCCGCGGTGGCTGGCAAAGACTCCGATGGGAAGCTTGCGAAACTCCCACAGGGAGAGAAGAACGACATGAAAGGTGAAGAAGAGCCATTTCGACCTGATAAAACTTGTGCAGCACCCGCACTCTGCACTGCTGGACGGGCAACAACATCTGATCCAGGTCGAACTGGGCACGGCAGTGAATGACCGGAGCAAAAGCTCCATCTCTTTTGTGATAGGCTGAATCGGTCGGGCGGCGCATACTGAAAGGCTACAAGGTCCGCTTTTCCAGAACAACAAGGTCGTTTTATCCCTCCGTTTTCTGCTTAGGAGAGGCAAGCTGGCCGATGTGGGAGGCGGCAAAAAAATTTAAAAAATCATGTCGTCCGAAAGGGATGAGCCCGTTTACCCTTTCGGATTAACAATAGGTGGGATGTTCAGGGGAGGCTAAGGGGCCCAAGTTGTAGCCAAGTGGTCGCCGGGCCGGTTGAGCCACGCAATGATCGACAGACTGGATAACTAGTTGGGCCTAGGGGGTCAGTCCTGCGAGACTTTTGCCACAAGTTGTGGCTGGTTACGCAAACCCGACGAAAAGAATCTCCATATCCAGGATTCGGCAATTCTCAAAAGATAATCAACAAGAATAGGCAGGCTGTTTACGACAAATTTTAAAAGTCTCGCCCGGCAACAAGTGTCGCTTCATCTAGCACGTAACTAAGACGACTACAAGACCATCCTCAACGAGCTAGACTCCTGCCTCGGCCGCAACTGGGATTAGCACTACGGCGCAGATAGCCGTGGCGGCCGAAGTCCCTGAAAGAAGGGTCTAAAAGCAAGCTTGACAACTAATACGGGATACTACGATATGATACTCCGTACCCACTGGCTAATGAATCGGTGATGGGGTCGTTGCTGGGATCTCAAGCATAATAGGCTGTTGGGTGAATCAAGGCGGCTGGCCCAAGCCTTCTTGTGGCGCACACAGAGCATCTTAGCTACATTGATCCATTGTGCTGGCGAACCACTAACCGTTCAGAGCTTCTCGGCTCCGGAAAATAACTACTACTACAAAAGGAGAAGCTTTCCATTAGTTGCTGGGTTTCTTGTCATTACTACTATACAAAGAAACTTGCCTTGGGGAACCAGCACGCCCGAAAACTCCGGAAATAAAGATGCCGTCTTTAAAAATAAACCGGACACTGTGGTGGCATTATCTATGGTTACCTTGGCGGTGGATTGGGTTCAAAGAGGACCATGGACTACATTTGCCGTTGACATGGAACTCAATGAGTGACTCGCATAATGAAACACGACAAAATAATCAAGTTGCCATCGGCTATGGAGCGAAATTCAGAATGTCCATGTTGACCGCGGTCATTCCGTATCGACATTTTACTTGCACGTTATCCTGTTGGATGGACGGGGAACCTACTCGTACTCGGAATTGACTTCTTCAACCTCTCTTTGAAGCCCCGCATAACTACTGAAGTAGTTGGCGATCCCGGCAACCAACGCCGCAGTGGAGACCAAGACTGGCCTCGGAGTTGAATCTGAGTGGCCTTACGGAGTGCCGACACTAGTGAAATCCTAGCCGAGTCCCTCGGGCAGAAGCGATTTTGCTTGGGTTTGTCAGTTGGCCACCCAACACGCATCATTCCTTGTCTGATTACCCAAGACCTTGTCTGATTACCCAAGAGACATTGCCGCCGGGACGCCACGACGCCCGCCGAGTCATTAGATGTGGCTGGTACCTTGTCAAAAACTTTACTGCTTGCTGCCACGATATGCGTAGGGCCAGCAATAAAGCCACTGTCGCCAAGCCGCCATGCACGAGGCTGCCCCTGGCCCCGTGGCCAAAGTCTGCGCAAACTGGAGGAGGCCATGGCCCTCTGCCGGACGGGAGCACTGAAACTAGGATATCTTCCCGCAAAGCCAATTTGTTGGCTTCGGAGAGAAATTCATGTGGGTTCGGGGCAAGACGCCAGGGCTCCAAATTGCCATGAGCTTGATCCGTCAGACTGACCGTCCTTCCGTCGTCAGCAACATGCCGGAGCATTTGCTCCTACGTCGAAATATGTATGAATATGGCGTTAACCGCAATTTCAATTTGCGGCCAATCAGCGCCGTGTGTTAGATATTATTCATGGTGTTTCTGCACGGCACAAAGGATGAGATTGCCTCCGCTGGCCTTTTCCTTCAGCTTTGGACCTTGATTCGTCGAGAATCAAGGCAATGTGCCCGTGTTATGAACGTACTTTGCTCAATCTTTTCCTCTTCAAACGTTACTGGAAATTGCCTTGGTCAAGGCGTAAGTTGCACGGCCATGACAGTAAAACAGCCTGGCCAGCCAAACCAAGAAGGAACAAGAAAAGAAGAGAAAAACAAAGGACCCGGGGCTCTCCACTTTTGCTAGCTTCGTCCATACACCCAACGTGAATAAAACCGGCTTCCCTTATCATCAGACTCACTTTCAATCACTCCTATCATTTATTATGCCTCTAGAGACATTGCCCCCCTTCCGGTATTGCCAGCCGCGAATGCCATACGTCGAGGATGTCGAGAAGTACGCACCTGGCGGCTACCATCCGGTCGACATTGGCGACACGATCTGCAATGGCGAGCGGGCGTACGAAGTTATCCACAAGCTCGGCCACGGGGGCTTCTCGACAGTCTGGTTAGTTCGCTCATGTGCGCCCTCACCATCCTACTTTGCGTTGAAAATTCTTTGTGCCGAGGCTGTGGACATCACTTATGGTGAGCTGAACGTCCTCCAGCACCTCAGAACGGTCGCCGGCCCTGGGCATCCGAACGTGGTGGTTTTGTATGACTCGTTTAAAATCTCTGGCCCTAACGGCAAGCATTGCTGTCTCACTTTCCCTGTTATCGGCCCAAGCCTACAGAAGATCAATGTTTCCGCGGCGTTATCCAATAATATGCGACACCAGGTGTGCCAACAAGTTGCCAGCGCTATGGCATTCCTCCATCATCACGGAGTCTGTCACGGCGGTAAGCCCAGTTCCTCAACCCCTAGGCTAGCTTCAGCTGACTGATGAGCGTATGATTGCAGACCTCACTGCATCTAACATAGTATTCGAGCTTCCAGATATTCGGTCTATGTCTCCAGCTCGTGTATCTCAACTTCTAGGCCCTGTCAAGACCGAGAACCTTAGGTTAACTAATGGCCGATGCTCACCGCATGCTCCAAAGCAGGTCATTCAGACTCCCGACCTCTCAGGTCTAGACTACTCTTTGCTCACTCAGATTCGAATTATCGACTTCGGACAAGCCTTCTTCACAGATCGCCCGCCACCATCCCTAGGAGTTCCTATCGATTTTCCCCCCCCAGAACTCTGCTTTGGCTATTTACCCTCAACTAAAAGTGATATTTGGCAGCTCGCATGCATTTTCTACCAGATTCGCACAAAGGCGGTCTTATTTCCCACAGTTTTTCAGATATTTGAGATCCTAATCGGTACGATTGTGAGCTATCTCGGTCCGATACCCCAACACTGGAAGGGGAAGTTCAACTTCGATAAATACGGCTACTGCGAGCCGGGACAAGTACAGGACACAACAGAACCAGAGTGGTGGTTTGAAGATAAATGCAGCGAAAAGACAATTGATAGCCGGATTACCCAGGAGGCAGTGCATCTCTCTACCTATCAACGGGAGGAGTATGTCCGCTTGCTCCACGATATGGTTGTATACGAACCCGAGAAGCGCCTTTCGGCGGTGGAGGTGATACAGCGTCTGAGGTCAGCCTCATTCTTGGATGAAGACTCGAGCGAATTAGTGAATAGGAGATGAACACTTGTCAAATACCTTGTAATCGGCCTCCAAGTGTTATCACCACCTTCTAATTAAACAGCTCTCAATTAGTCTTACAGGGAATGCCTAGAGTAAAGTAAAATAACTTATTTAAGGCGAATTTAATTTTCTTAATACTAATATTAGCTTATATTATAATATATTAAATTTTTTAAATTATTAATAAAAAAAATAAAAAAAGCTAGCTAATTACCAGGACTATATCTAGGTTTTCCTTATACTATTTTGCGAATACAAAGGCTTTCTAATTTCAGATAGTTGTTTAGTATTCCACTAGTTTTCATAAGAAGACATTTCTAGTAGATTCATCTGCAAGCGAGTAAAATTACCACGTAATACAGCGAGAAAAAAAGGTTGTAAAGAACCGACAGGCCAGGGCTGAAGGCGGAAGGCAAGCCGATCCACGCTGGGCTCAGCTAGTTGTTAGTAGCACATCGTTTCGTGTATGAACTGCCGTGGCTCTCGTTTTCTTTAGACACATTGCAAAATAAACGTCCATCTTGCACAAAGGGGTCTCATAACGACATACATACAGGGCCGTTAGGGCCTTGCTATACGTCCAACGCTATATCCCATGGTCCAGTTGGTCAACAGCGAGGAATTCAAGACTTGGTATGCACAGGCTACAGCCGTCTTTGAACAACTTCCCTGATGTAGATTTCCTCTGGCTTAAACTGTGCCTTCTTTAGGATCCGGCGGAGTAGACTCTTGCTCGAATCATCGGCCTGTTATCTGATGACTCAAGACTGACTACCCGGCACCAGAATGAGGACAGCAGGCTGTTGCATCATCGTCCACATTTACACCTTTACGCAGCGCACTTGTGCGATTAAGATTGCTGTTGGAGCAAGTGATGAGCTACGAATTGCTCTAGAAAAGCGTGCGTTGAACTGGGAACTCATTTCAAGGTAAAATGATGCCGTAATAAGCTGTGTTTACCGTGTCCAGAAGAACAATGAATCGTGGCCACGGCTGGTGACTTGAAAAGTCTTTTTATTATTGTCCATAACGCATGCGATGCGAACCGATAACGCTTTAGGGTAGTAGTAGTCATGATAAGTCTGAGATGAGCATGAGAGCGAGGAAATTCGATATTTATGCAGAATGGTCTAGATATGGGCGGGACTAGGGGGAGCTTGCTGAATGGACATGGCTAGGGCGGGCGGCCCAACCACATCTAAATGGCAGGCAGTGATATTTCTGATATGTCAAACACCAATTGTCTTTGTGAAAGAATCTTGACGGTCAGGGCATGGGAGGGTAATATAAAAGCCCATCCGAGGCAGGGATCCTTGTTCAAATCTCTCAAACTCGGCCATGATGACGCTTTGCAATGCTATCGCTTTACCAAGTAAGCTTGTCATATGGTGGAGCTGCTTTCGGATCTCAGACAACGCAGATCATGCAGGTTACTCCCAGGAACGAGCCAATGACATATAATACCTCAGAATCCTGCATATTGCGTTGTCGTTTTAACGGACCCCTCGGTAGTCACAACGACAAGGGAACTAGAGCAATGGGATTTATGCGTAAGGAAGAAACGCGGGGCTTACACACCGCCGATTCCGGCGGTGAGGACCTCAACGGACACTCGCTGAGGCTATACTTTCGTTGAGTGGGCTTGGTATAGAAATATGCTCATGTCACGGGCCCTGATGCCGTATGCAAGTCATGGCAAGTTATTTTGGTACTCTCCGTGAAAGTGGAAGTGGCGTCCGGATTGTCTCGCTTCTGTTGCAGCTCTCCTGCAGCCCGGCACATGTCGGACCTTTGTAGGTTGTCAGAGCGCATCGCACTAGTATTCGGAAATCATGGGTTCAACTACCGCCGTCCCTGTGGCCCGTCTCGCGACTGCATTGACAAATCGTTTACCGAGCAAGGTGAAGTACGCAATATCGTGTCAAGACCCACCCAACCTTAAAAGAAGAGTTGTTCTAGGCTGTGGAGGCGGGATGGTAAAGCAGCATGCGCGGTGGAGAGATAGAACGTCTACCGGAGTGAGGCTAAGTTGCAGATGAGGCGACTGGTACCAAAATTGGCTCTTGTTTGGGAGACTTTGACTTTGCAAACATGTCGGTTGAATTCCAGCTGTGATTGCCGATAGCCGGGGCCTGCTTGCCAAGGTACTCCGTAAGGCTGAACGCGTCATGAGCATGAGAGCATGCTTGTCTTGACTTTTAAGTGACTCTCACGCGAGGCTGCCACAGGTGGGCGAGCTTCTGGAAGAATACCGCCTGCACGCTCCCAGCACACCAGTGATGAGCTGAATAAAGGTGGCTGTAGACACGCGGGGGAACCCCAGGGGGAAATACGGAGTATGGAGTGCGGAGTATGTATGTACATACTCCATGTGATCAGTCTTGAACCAGGGAGTGCTCCGTGCTCGGCAGTGCTCAGCACCTCCTCACGAAAAACCACTTCTGAGGCCACTCTTGCATTGAAAATAACGCGTCCAGTGAACCGGATTATGCCGCACAACCCCAACGTCAAAGTTCAACCTCAATCTGGAGCATGGGGCCGTGTGGACGATTTGCTGGGGTTAACAGGGACGCGCTCCCTGGTGGCGTCTGGTCTGACGGCTTGTGTCGGCCATGAGCATCAGCAGTCATGTGGAGACTCGAGGTGATGTTGCAAAGTGTGGGAACTGTCAGTACGCAGCCCTTATTGTAAACGCAACACCCAGCTTGGAATCCCAAATTGCATTGTGCAGTTCGGCTTGGGTGGGCCGACTTGTGACCCTTGGCGCCCCAAATGCAGTGATACCTGTTCACGACAATTAAGATGTGGACACACAATATCTGGACTATGTCGGGGAGCCATTGTTGAGTCATTGTCACGGATTGCACGACGTCGGCGCTAAGGGGAGAGCAGAAAACACTCGGCAGCCTGCCGTAATCGGTGTTTTCTCTGCCACCCATGTGCGTGCCACAAACGCCATTTGAGATGAAGGCTCATCGGGATATCCGTCATCCACACGACCTCGGTGCAAGCCACCAGCACCCAATATTGAACCTGCATGCCATGGCGGGTGGCCTTGCGCCCTCCGGCTATTCCCTTGCGAGTAGGCTATGTATGATGCTGCTATTGGAGCCACAGGCTAAGCCGGACGACGGAATATGAAATGAGGACATGGATTTCGTCTTGAGATGTTTGACCGTATTGTGGGATAGATAAGGGCTCGTTGTCGTGCCCACAAATGCCAACTCTCGAGGCAAGCATCTCGGATTTCCGTCGGTGGCGGGTGGGCATCGGTTTTGAGACAGGCCGTCGCCCACGTTGTTAGGCTCGTTTCGACGGATGACCTGGAGAAATTGAGATAAGCACAGAGTCTAGGCAATCCTTGCCATGCTCCATCCCCACTGGCTCGCCACAACAGGGCCGTGAATAGGCTCCGCACTTCTCCGCAGCTAAGAAGGCTTGCAAGATATGCCAGGATGATTCTGGTGGTACGACTCGCGTGCTCTTTGGGTATTGGCTCAGCATCTGGGGGAGCTGGGTCACTTCTGGAAAACGGTGGGACTGTTCCAGAAACGCCTCATTACGATAGTATGCGGTACAATGATAACCATTGATACCTAGGCCAGATGATTGCGCCTCCCTCTCTCATTGACCGTTTCTGGCCGTAGCCGTGGGGGTTTACTTTCTCGGAACTGATTCGCCAGGCTCGACCCTGAAATTGCGTAGCTGAGATCACGACTGTCAGGTCGCTGCATCTTGGTCGTGCTTACTTGAGGCTGTCAGTGTGAGGCAAACTTGACTTCATCTGGTCCAACAACGTTCCGTCAGCGGCTGGCATTAGGTGTCCGCCCTCTTTCTCACATACTTTGTCCTCCGTACTCCGTACGGAACATACGTCCCGCCCGCTATTATGACATCGGCGTTCAATGTTGTCAATTTCCTGCTCCCTCAGCATGTCACAGCCTCAACCAGCCGAATTGATGTCCTTCTGAGTGGCTTTCGGAGTATTCGTTGCGCTATTCTGTGGCGACCTGGCCAGGGACGGCGTTGTTCCCCACAGGATCACAACCCTGACCAACTCGAGGCTTGCTGTCAGATAAACAGGGTTCAGCTTGGGTAGCCCTGCAACTTGGTCGTCATCCGACGGGGCATCCTGTATTGTGCATTGAGTTGATGCTGTGTGGTGTCGTGTTTTTCTTGCAGCTCCCAAGCCATTCAGCCCTTGGGGCGTTTTGAAGTGTCCCGCTTTGGCTGTGTCAAGACTGGGCAGGTAGGACCTAGCTTCCGCTAGCGGAGTCCCCAGACCTCCTTCCCACTTTACGGACGTTAGTTATCACTGCCTGCCCTCCACCTCAAAAAAATGATCACTGCTCTTCCCTAACTTCTCTTCTTTTCTTCTCCGCACTTGTTTCCATCTGATCGATTACCCATCACCGGATCGGAATACATATCAAGTGTTTCCCTTTCCCATCTTTTTTTGTGGGTTATTGTGAATACGTTGGTCTTTGAAGTTGGGCCACCTCACTCCTAGCGCCGCCGTTTGATACCGACCAACTGCCCAGCTGGGTCCCTGTCCCGGACATACGGTGCCGTTGACACATTGTCTGGCACTGGCGTATACAACGTCACGAAACCTCAACGTCGCCGCCCAATTTGGATCCTGCTGGTCTCACACCAGATTCGCAAGTCTTTTGGGCCATTGTTCGCGGGAGTCGGCCAGAAACAAGCAGAGACTGTGTGAAACATTGGCTACCCGTGTCTGACATAGCCACCCATCCATCATGATGGAGAAGCTCGACGAAAATGCCACTCACGATTCGGAGGCTGGCCAAATGGTTGAGAATGCCGAGTACAACTTAGCAGAGCAGCACGATCAGCTGGCTCGTGGGCTAAAGAGTCGTCATATCCAGTTTTTGGCCCTTGGTGGTGCTATTGGTACTGGTCTCTTCATCGGCTCAGGAGGTATTCTGTCGTCCACGGGTCCTGCACCGCTCTTCATGGCCTACCTCTCCATGATGATG